TTAAAATCCATTACTTGTGTAAATTAAAATGTACCACAAATCATTAAGCCACCCTTGGGTCTGTTTTATTAGTAACAAGTGGGCAGAGTAGACTGGTTAAGTCGGGGCAGTAAAGAGGGTTCCCCCCCCCCCAAAAAAAATGTCAACTGAGCTGGTAAATTAATCAAAGTATTTAATTGATCGCTGAACAGTTGGCTAACCAGTAACATATTTATAGATAACCCTTTTCCCAGAAAGCAAACACACGCCACACACACACGCGCACACACACACAGTCAAAATGAAAAACAAAAATAAAAACCACCAGGGAACAAAAGAGTCCAAGAAAAACACCGTCACGAGGTACCAGCACCGAAGATCGCGACTGTACAACTAGAAATCCGTAGGAAAACACTTTGGTTCATTGATACAAAAAAAGCTGTGCCAACTCTCACACGTCTGTTAAACGTTGGGAAGAAAGCGATCCAAGCACAGGTTCAGGATGGGGTGAAAAATAAAATAATACTCATAATTCAAAACAAAACAAAACCATGAAGTCGTGGGAAAAGAAGTTAAGGGGGAGGAGAGGGCTGTCGTCTTGTGCGCTTGGCACCATAATAAATACAAAAGCAGGGAGGAGGTCTTCCCCCCCCCATTATCCCCCTCCCCACAGTGCGTCTTCTCTCCGGTGGCCAGTGCAGCAATTCTGATCAAAGGTGCCTGGGAGAAGGGGCGAGAGGGAACGTGGGGGGAACCGGGTGAGGTGGGGTGGCTTCCCAGTGTCGGCTCGGTTTCCGCCCCTCAAAAGTCCCGAAAGAGCTCGGAAAGAAGGCGGCGGTCTGGTGGGCGACGGGCAAGTCCTACGGCCAGCGACGTTAATAATTGGGGCCGGGGTCGCAGTTTGTGAACGCGGCCTCTCCCGCGTGGGGCGAAGGAGAGTTACTGGGTGGCGTCGGGATGCCGCTGGCCCCGGAGCTCTGACACACGTACCATTCGCTCAGGTTGGCTGCCGCCTGGGTGGAGGAGGCCGCTGGGGGCGGCGGGGGTGGCGGCGGCGCTTGAGGGGGGTCCCGGCCGCAGTCGGACGAAGGAGAGACCAGTGAGGGGGTGGACGACTCGTAGCCCGAGCTGGGAGGCGGGGATTTGCAGTGGACCTTCATGTGCTTCCTCAAAGAGCTGGGATGGGTGTACGACTTGTCGCAGCCCCGCACTTTGCAGTTGTAGGGCTTGTCGCTGGTGTGCACGTGGGAATGCTTCTTCCGGTCGCTGCTGTTGGCGAAGCGTCTCTCGCAGCCCTCGAACTCGCATTTGAAAGGCTTCTCGCCTGCAAAGAGAGAGGCAGTCCTGGGAAACTTGGCAGAAACGGCCCGGGAAGGGAAGGGGGGAAGTATGGGGGGGGGGGGCATAATATCTTTTTTGGGAATGGGGGTAGGGGAGAAAGAGGCTATTCCCAACTGCTGAAACCCCACTTCCTTTCCTTTCAAGTCCTTTCCAACCATTGAGCTTCGGAGTGGGGGAGATTTTACCCTTCTGGAAACGGCGCCGGATGTTCCGGTGCAAATTCATGCCTGTCGGGATTCAAGGCGATCTCTAAAACTACCCGGTGGAATTTCGGGGTTATTCTCAGGGTCTCCCTCCCACAAGAAGTAAGCATGCTCTCACAGAGAAAGGGGCTGCTCTGAAGCAAGAGAATGGCAACTTCAGGACAGCTAGTAGTTACTTGCTGGCAGAGTGTAGTCAAAAAAGTCAAGATGGTGACAACACAGGGTGTGGAAGGCAAACCAGGTTGCCATTTTTTAGGGAGTTTTACAGATCATAATCTCTTCCAGAATCCCCTTATCCTCTAGTCTTCCTTACCAAACACACCATTATTTACAAATGGCCTCTGCTATCTGTTGTTTTAAAAACAGCTACAGTACTGTGCATAGCTGGTCTTACCCAAAATTCATAACCAAAGATCACAGTCTTCAGGTGGTATACCTCTCTTTCACCTTTCACACTTCCACCAAGTAAGCCCATATGCCTCCAGTCATGCACTTATATATCCACAATCAGACAAGAAACATAATATTTGGCTTTCCCTGGAAACCGTAATTTACATAGGGTTTGGGATGCAGTACTGTACTGACAAAAGGCCAGAAGGAAATCCAACCTTTTGGAACAGCTTACGTGTGCATGCATAAATGTATACCAGCCTCCTACTCCTGCAAGGTGTGTGTGTGTGTGTGTGTGTGTTGGCATGCTACTCCTGGATAATCAGGGTTGTCCATCTTCAAAGTCAGTCTGTATAATTTCCTCAGGATTGGCTTCTCTTAATTTCTCTGAAGCTTGTGCAATATTTTCTAGAATCTGACAATAACTCATTATTTTC